AAATACTTTATATTTACATGGAGGGGACCCTCTCTACAGAGGCCACCATGTTTTTTACATTAGACCAGACTGGACAAACTAAAACCTTTTGAGTTTTTATGACGACTGAAGCTGCCACAGGTTCTTCTTCCTGTTTGGAAGGAGAGGGGGAGGGGTGTTCAGCTGCAACATGACACTTCACCACTAGATGTCACTAAATTCTACACACTGAACCTTAAAAGTACTGATTCCACCTCTTTACTCCAGTAAAAGTATAAAGTTTCCCTCTGAAGATCATTTCTCTCGACTGTATCTGAGACTGACGTCACATTAGTTAATAAAGAATTTTATAATAATAAAGATTATTTCACTTCAACCACTCGGACTCAAATCAAAAACTTAAAACAGGTTCAAGAAAAGATTTGTGAAATGTGTTCGACGTGTTGAATCCAGTTTTCTTCATTTAGTCCAGAGTGAAGTTTCATATCGGTGATGTTTGATTCTTCTCTTTCTTCCATCTTGTCTCTTCTCCACCGTCGAGTCTTGACCTTGTTACGTCAGTTGTGTTAAACTGACACACAACAACCACTCGTCTAAGTTATTTTTCATATAGATTGAAATCTGTTTTGATGCTGCAAATAAAAAAACCGAGTCCATTTTGAAAATGTAAAGAGTAAAAAGTTCCTATATATTCATGTTTAAATGTAAACTAAAAAAACCATCAGAAAAAGAAATGCTATAGAAAAGTACTTGAAAAGTATTTGTACTTGCTTAGTTCCAACCTCTAAATTAAACCAGTTCAGACAAACTGGTTTAATTGAACCAGGTTATTTGAACCAGTTTATGTAAACTCTCTCTCTCTCGATCAGATCATAGAGAAGAGGAAGAAGATGGAGGCTGACGGGTGAGTTCATCCTCATCATTCCTATCATCAGCCAATCAGAGGAGACCTGGGTGTTTTAACTGATAACTTTGTTTTTTTTTCAGGGTCGACGTGAAGAGACCGAAATACTGAAATCTGACATCTCTACTTTCATTTCCTCTTCCTCCTGGTTTCTACTGATTATTGATGATATGTAACCGCTTCATGTTTCTCTGTGAACGTCATGTGAACAGTGTGAGGTCACAGATGATCCGTGTTTGTGTTTTAGTTGAAAAAGTTGTTACTTTAACGTAAAAGCAATAGTTGTTAATTAGTTTTTAAAAAATCATCAATAAAACTTAACCCTCGGTTTCTTTGGTTTCTTTTCAGATGTCAAATTTATTAATATTGTGTTAATGTGATTTTAGGGAGAGTTTGTCATGTGATAAAACTGATTAAGCTCCACCCTCTCCGATCAGCCACTCCCACTTGACAAAGATGAGAGGTGCATCACTGCAGCGTTGATTGAAGCTGTTTTCAGACCGGAGCTCCAGGTAGAATCCAGAGTTCATGTTTCACAGCTGAACAACTCTGCAGCAGCTTTTCTGCACAGACTCGCTCACACCAGCATCAGATCTTCCTCGTTCTTCAGGTGAGAGGTGGAGCAGACAGACAGGAAGTGACACACCACACACTTTACTGTCTTTCATCACCATGGTGACAGTATCTTTCTTTGAACCTCCAGTGTGTAAGATTTAGGGGAAAGGATCTAATGGCAGATATACTTTTCTTTTTTCTTTTTTAAAAAAAATGCTGTGATGGATTCTACATCCTGACTGAAAGTTTTCCAACAAACTGTTACTATCTGAGTCGTCACACTGGTGGAACGCCACTTCCTCTCCAGCTTCTGTGATGTTTAAAAACACGTGTTTGAGAATTATACCACGGAGCTGATCTCCTCTGATTTACATTCTTTTTTAGCAGGTGACGTCAAGGATTGCTTTTAATGAGGCTGCTGTTCTATGAACAAAGTTATCAACTAATGTGGGAGTAAAGTTTGATAACTTTCCTGTATTGGACTGACACATGGCTGAGAGGTAAGTGTAGAAGGAAGCAGTTCTTTACATGTGTTCACAGTTTTATCAGATAAACACCGACTACAATAGAATTTCTGTTCAGAACCAGTGTCGTGAATAATTCTAAATTCAAATGTGATTAAAAAAAAATGGTCAGACAGAAGAAGGTTCTGTTGAAATATTATTACATGTTCAATGTCTCTGCCATATGTCAGAACAAGATCAAGAGTGGGATGTCAGCAGTGAGTGGGTTTATTCACATGTTGAGTGAAACCAATCAATCAATCAAATGTATTKATATAGCACGGTATCACAACAAGCAGTTGTCTCAGGGTGCTACACAAAAGTCCAAGATCTTAAGAAACACAAAGTCCAACTTGTTCCACTCCGAGCAGGCATGAGCAACAGCGGGGAGGAAAAACTCCCAGGTGGAAGACACCTCCGGCAGAACCGGGCTCGGAGTGGACGGCCTCTGCCGGGACCAGTTGGGGTGATGGAGAAAGAACAAGTAATACAGGGGAACAAAAGGAAATAAAGGGGGGGGGGGGGTTGGAGACAGTGTCAGGTCAGGGGCTTGAATCCAGCCCGGGAATCTCCACATGGACGTTTGCATGATCTTCCAAGGGTGCATTGGTCCCCCCGGGCACTCCGGCCTCCCTCATGGTCCAACATGCGCAGTAGTAGGACCCATGGCTCCAGAGGTGAGAGGTCCTCAGGTGAGAGTGCTGTCGGTTGCGTGACCCTGCATGTCAGCCCTGCGACAGACCGGCGACCTCACTAGGTCCATCCCTCACCAGGACCCGAGCCAGGACGGGCTCCGGAGAGCCGCACAGCATGGACCAAGGAGGGGAGGAGAAGACCCAAGGAGTTAGAGATATGTAATAAGATATAACAAAATAAACAGAGAGTGAAGAAGAGAGAAGGTGCTGGTTTCTGGTGCCTGATGGGTAATCCCCCAGCAGTGTAGGCCTATAGCAGCATAGCTATGGATGACTATGGTTCAGGGTTTAGCTAAAAGCTTTATCAAAAAGGAAGGTTTTAAGTCTAGCCTTAAATGTAGAGACTGTGTCTGCCTCCCTCACTGAGAGTGGGAGCTGGTTCCAAAGGAGAGGAGCTTGGTGACTAAACGTTCTACCATTCTGCTCTTAGTAACTCTAGGCACTACAAGGAGTCCAGAGTTTAGGGAGCGACGTGGTCTGTGGGGCAGTAAGGGGTTATGAGCTCGTTAATAGAGTCTATTATTGAGTTGAGAGCTGAACTAAGGCAGTTGTTGGCAACATCTACATGAATGTTGAATGTGCTTCGAGGAGTAAGAGTATTAGTATGGCTTGGGGCGTTGTTTCATCTAATCCTACATATTCTCCATCTTGCAGCCAGGTTTCTGTTAGACATGATCGATGTGATGATCGGTAATCAGATCATTAATAAGGAACCATTTTATATTGAGCAACCTGATATTTAATAAACCTCATTTTATAATTCTGTGTTTTGTTACCGGTGTATTGGCTGTGTTAACTTTTATTAGGTTTGAATGTATTACTCCTGTCCTGTTTGCTTTTGATTTAATGAATGTAGGTGGTCGGGGGGGCAGTAAAGAAAATAAAAACCATATTTCCTGAATTACTGAATTTACTGAATGTTGACATGTGAATACAGAACAGCAGAGGGCCGAGGATGGAGCCTTGAGGTACACCGTATGTTACTGCAGTAGAATAAGACAAGAGGACATGATGAACACTGTGTTCTGAATATTTATATGATACAATGACAGTGTAACAGGTTGTGGGTTAGTAGAGGTGGAGAGAAAATGATGACTCGTTAATAACAGTCACAGGTCTCAGTGTTGTAGAAAGATGTAAATAAGTTCAGGAGCCACTGTTGTGTTTAGGTACCGACCTTTATTTGTGTCTTCTCGGCTCTTTATGAACAAACACTTGTTTTTTAATTGACTCCTGTTTTATCTGATGTTCAAGTGAGTGGTTTATATAAGATGGAACAGGAAGGTCCAAAAAATCTAATTATATTAGAAATGATCCAAACTTTTCATGAAAGAATAATTTGAGCTAATCAGGTCGAGAGTCTTCTCCAGTTTGAAATCACATATTACACAAATGACGTGTGTGGCATCAGTAATCACTTGATGAGTCATGATTAGTAAAAACTCCTCAGTAGAAAATGATCTGCTGGTACAGATGATACATTCTCTGAAAAATAACATTATGATCAAAGTAAAACATTGTTTCCATGATATTTTCAGAGGGTTATGTTTTTGGATTGTCCCTCTGTCCAAAACCTCCATTGGTACGTCCGTCCTATTCTTGTGAACACGATATCTCAAAGACGCCTTAAGGCAATTTCTTCTTTACCTGATCAAATAATGATTAAATATTTTTTAAGTTGTTTCCATTTTGAAATAGCTGCAATGAGCTGAAGACTACTTGATATTAAATATCACTGGATGACGCACCTGTCGATCACTGTCTCAACAATAAATCCCACTCCTGCTCCAATTAGCATCCCCAGCCCTCCCCCTAAAGATCCAAGACCTGCTCCCACAACGGCTAAGCTACCATCTCCAATTTTCGCAACATATTCTTCTGCTTCTGTTCTTGTATCATCCCAGTCCCTATTTGGGTCGTCCTCCCAAATATCATCCATCTTTTTTTTTATGGCTCTCTCAGCCTCTTGGAACATCTCGTTGGTGTAGTATTTTCCTCCATTTCTCAGAACCATTGAGTTGATCTTCTCCAGCAGCTCATAGACCTGAGCAGGATTTTTCTGTCTGTTGTTAAAAACATGGTATCCTCCTTTGCACTGACTGAGGAAGTCGCTGAGAGCCTTATTTTCACCAATGGCTTTTTCTATGGAGACGCCGTCCTCCTCCAGATCGTCTCCACGGGTGAACAGGGTCATGGTGTAACATGCTGCCTGATCCCCAAACAGCTTCTGAATGATTTTCACTGTTTCTTCTTCTTCTTTAGTGAATCTGTCTGCCTTGATGATGACCAGGAACACATGAGGTCCAGGAGTAGCATATGTGATGCATTTAGCAATTTCTGCCTTCAACTCCTCTAGACTCATCCTGGTGTCAAACAGACCCGGAGTATCAATGACAGCCAGTGTTTGACCCCTGACCTTCACTGTTTCTTTCTGACACACTTTTGTCAATGAGGAAGTAGAAACTGATGAATGAAAAACCTTCTTCATTAAGATGGTGTTTCCTGCTGCACTTTTCCCAGCTCCAGTTCTCCCAATGAGAACCATCCTGAGGTGAGACTCCTCTGGATCTGCTGGAGAACAAACTTTTAAGTTAAGTCAATCAATCTAATGTTGTAGCCCATATTTACAAATCACAATTTCTCTCATTGGGCTTCACAAGGTGCAACATCCTCTGATCTTAACCCTCAGAGTTAAACTACCAACAAAAAAAAATATTCCTGTTGAGGTTTCCACAATGAAACATGCCAAGCCTTTAGAAAACAGACCCACTCTGTTGATTGGCAGTGGGACGATAGAGTCGGAGCAAAGAGCAGAGATAATGATTTAAGTCTGTTTCAGGTGAAACACTGTGTAACACCTGATTGCTACTCAAACCATGAAAACCGATGCCTCTCGCAGGAACGACAGAAGTCTAGTAGAAGCCAGGTGAAGATGAACACATCAACAAAATATTCACAACATTGATGAGAATAGATAGAGATCAATGTTTTAATACAAAACAAAATGGCCGACAAGTCACAAATCCTCCACAAAAAATATTGTTCAAGTGTTGCTTGTTGTTTTTAGTCCAGAACAAGCGACACAGATGGTTTCTCCTCAAGTCTTTATGATCTCCATCGAATCGACCTATTCTGTTTACACTCAGGTTAATAGACTTGATTGGTGGTCCTACTGGACATTAATTTAAAAAGAGAAACGATGAGGAAATAAATCCAGTGCGAACGAGGACTAGATTTTTCAAGCGTATGTAAGGTTTTACTCACAGGTTCGTTTCCTGGACATGTTGGTTTGTGAAGTGATGAGTCCTTTTCCTCTGAACTTTGATCAGCTGATGTTTATCATATGCTCCAAAGTTCACACACCTCCAATTCATTCCAGTTTGTCATTAGCAGTTAGCTCAGCTTACTTTGTTTTGGTTGAATGAAGAAAAATCTTTTGTCGTTTAATTGGTGTGTGTTTTTTCACTTTTTAAATTTTTTAATAAATGTAAAAAATAAAAATGTGACGTTTATTTTGAAACATCAACGTCATCACTGACCGCTGTCATGTGACTGAGTTAACAACATGGCTGCCGAGGATCTCCCATCTGAATTTGACGTCGTCATTCTGGGCACAGGTAAACGAACACCTGGGTTCTGTGACGTGTGACCTTGTGTGTGTCCGCTGATGCCACATAACCCCGGGTGGAACTGGCACAACCCGGGATATACTGAGGGGTTAGCTAGCGGCTAACGACCCCTTCATTTTAAAGGCAACGGCTAGCAGCTAGCGCCCGGCTGTTAGCTGCTCTTGTGAAAACAACAACAGCGTTAAAAGTGAAACGTAACCGGACAGTTGTTCGTTAGCTTCATTAGCTTCGTTAGCTTCGTTAGCTCCAGTACATGATGTTTCTCAGCTGGAGCTAACGACAGCTGAGCGTCATGCTAACTGTTAGCTCTCTTGTCTTCTCGTCAGATGTAGATGTGACAGATAACTGATCACTGACGATTCTGACTTGATCATCGATGTGTGCAGGTCTCGTTGAGTCGGTGGTCGCTGCAGCCTGTTCCAGAGTCGGACAGCGAGTTCTTCATGTCGACAGGTAATCAGTCACTCAGTCAGTCAGTCAGTCATTCAGTCAGTCAGTCAGTCAGTCAGTCACTCAGTCAGTCACTCACTCACTCACTCAGTCAGTCACTCAGTCAGTCACTCAGTCAGTCACTCAGTCAGTCA